TTTCATATTTATATATGATATAAAAAAGTAAAAGAGAGGTTATTAAAGAATAAAAAGGGACAGAAAGAAGAAAAATGAACACCAACTTGATTAAATGTATAAGTTACATACAAGAACTGATAGCTAAAACAAATAAAAATAAATCAAGAAAACAAGTTTGTATAACAAAGAAGTGTTAATGTTCTTTAGCAGTTCTTGTACTCAGCAGTTGATATTGTAAATAATTTTGTTTACTTTCTCTCCCCTACTGCTTACCCAGAACTTGAGAAAATCTGATATGAAAGGAAATTTTTTAATTACTTTATGTTTGCATGCCAGTATGCATTAGGCAACCAGTGAATGGTTCAATAATGAATACATTCATCCAAAAATATCAAATTGATCTAGAGTGTCCAAATTCCTTCTATAAAGAAGCATAGGAGTAGCACTTATTTAAGAATTAGGACCAGTTATGGGTGCCCTGTCGAAAAAGACAGAAATAATTATTAAAGCCATGAAAATAGAGAAGTTCACTAAGATAGGAGATGGGCAATATGGCAGACAGTGGATTTTCCTTCAAAATCCATGTGTATTAGATGGGACACTTGTGGCTCTTAAATGGATTAAGCAGTGTCATGAAGGTAAAAAAAAAAAACAAACAAACTCCAAACCAGTCCTGTACCTAAGAGTGACAGAATCCATAAAGTTTCTCCCTTCTTTGTCACTTTGCATCAGCCTCAGTCTTCAGTGGTGGTTTCTAGTGCCTTCCTTTTCTTAATTTTGAGATTGAAAAGCAAGAATACTACTTTCAAAAGTAGTTTTATCCTCCATTTGTTTTTGGTGGATCTCATTCTCATAACTGAGCAAAATCAAATTCCAGTGAGTATCAAGAAAATTGACTAAATGTAGCAACTTCCGAGTCCACAAAAGCTAGCCTTTGGATTCTGCTACCACTGGACTATGGCCGTAGTTGAGTGAGACTGCCTCAATTACAGAGTCTATGTCTTAGGCTGGTTGTGCTCCCTCCTATGTTCCTGAGTGTTCAGGTGAGTCTAGACCACTTTCTTCTTGTCATTGGCTCCAAAAGGCTTGACAGACCATTGACTTTCAAATTCTGGCTATTTTCTGATGTTTTAACTCCTACTGTTATAGTGTGAATGTTAAAGGCTTGTTCTGCAGTATGGCACTATTCCAAGGTACTGTAAAGCATTAACAGGTGGGGCCTTATTATAGAAGTTCTTAAATCATCAGGGGCATAACCTCAGAGAGCATCCCAGGATGCTGGTCATTTTTTCTGGGGAAGTTCAGATATCCCATTCTGTGTTCTGAAGAAGAAGAAGAAGAAGAAGGAGAAGGAGAAGAAGGAGAAGGAGGAGGAGGAGGAAGAGGATTTGTATGATAGAAGGAACTATTCATGGATGTAGTGGGGCAT